TTCAAGAGGTAACCCGTGAAATCCCGTTTATGCTAGTTGTCTAAATTACATGTGATTTTGATACTGGGATTGCTTCCGCTGCATATAATAATCCATCAATTGGTATCAGAGCTCACTCACATCTAATTAGATAACTAAGTTTTTCATGAAACAAGAATATGGTGTTTATGTGCATTTTTTGAATTACATATATATGTGGTTTTCTGAAAAACTGCACTGCTGTTTTGTGAATTAACTGTGCATAATTTATGGATTATTCTTATAATCATGAGATATATGTTTTTTATTGATATTTGATTGAGATTATCTGAATTTTTTGGGGTAAACCCCAGAAAAACGCAAAACCTGTTTTTGACCGAATAGCCGGAATTTTCGGAGGTCAGCGAACTTGACAGACACCGATTGATCCCAGTCGCCATAAATAAGTTCAAAGGCACGTTTGCGACCGAGATATTCCTTTCTTTTGGTTATAGTACAACCATACTCCTGGTGGACGGTTGTAATACACTCTTTAATCTTGAACTTAATGGACACTTCCAAATATGGAATCAAGACAAGAGAAATCAAGTCCACATCCAAGTTGAAGTGATTCTCATTGTATGTGTCCATTTCACATCTGTGCTCGCTAATAAATTTACCCACTTTCCACAAACCTGATTTCTTCTTGGTGGCACGCAACATCCAGTGACAACCCATAAAGTCTCTACGGTATACAACCTTGTATTCTCCGTAGTTAACTCACTTATCGTCATCTCATGACACTCTCTTATACTGTAGATTTTTACAACCCTAATTAAGCGAGCTTTATCAGGGAAATACATGTCCTTTGTCAGAACAGCTGGTCTAGACTCATCCCACATCGCTGATCGAAATTCATCATCATCCCTTGTGAGGGCATCCACGTTCGGCATGCTTGGAAAATTATAAAGGTAGGAAATATTTCGCTCATGAAATGGCACGTGGGACTCGTACACTCTTGGTCTAGCGGGAGGTGGAGGAACATGCTCCCTCGTCAGCTCAGGTTCAACATTCACTTCCTCCTCATCATCACCCTCATCATGGAAGGGTGTGTCATCCCCAGACTTATCCGCATTGTTATCATAATCACTATCATCTTTCTGACTCTGCGCATCTGCCAAATCACGAGTAAATACGTCGTCTATGGGCAACTGTGTGAGGTTAGGAGCTTCAAGAATCTCGTTTTCACTGCACAAAAATAACAAAATGATAATATACCCAACTAGATAAATACTTTAGATATAGCTATATCACTTTACTTACAAGTCGTACTGTCTTGACATTTCATGATGGATATTTGTTTGTTAGTGATGACTCCCGGATGGACCACCGTGGTCCAATACTCCAGAACTACACATATTCCAACTATGGGCGGGGTCATAACTTGTAAAATCCGTATCCGGATGGTACTCCCTATGAAAAATATGAGTGTTAATACAAATCCAATTAAAACATAAAATAAACATCGCTAAAGCACCCACAGAATTGAAGTTTACCAGTCGTCTTGTTGATTATATAAAGTCGAAAAATTATTTTGCGGCTGCTCATTCGCTGGTTGTGACAAGTTTAAATCAAGGCAAGCTCTTTCATCAGCAATCTGTCCGGCAAAAACTGCTCCAGAATAACCACCCGATGACTAGGGGTTATCCCTACTATGCACGCCCTCATTATTGAGAAAGTTTTCCACCTTGACGTACATTTCAATAATTTTATTACAATAAATTCCTTGTATTCATTCGGAATCCGCAAAAAATCTGTAAGAGTTTCATCATCTTCGATGTTAAACTCAGAATAATAAGCAAACCCCTGCGGAGTCACTAAATACGGAAATCTACCGGTTATTTTAAGGTTAACCGAACGCCACCTCTCATTCATTTTTTTTACGTAGCAATGACACCAATCTATCGTACTCCATAGTAAGCGGCAATTTAACATGACATTGTGGAGGTGAGCTATACCTCATAGANAAAAACCAGAGTAAAACGCAGTATAATACTGCGAACAGCTTTATAAAACGTAGTATTATACTGCGTTTTACTCTGGTTTAAAAAAATTGAAGTAAAACGCAATACGGTACTGCGAATTACAAAAAAAATAAAATAAAGTAAAACGCAGTATGGTACTGCGTTTTACTTTAACGAACTAATTTCCGTTAACGTAATTCGCAGTATAGTACTGCGTTTTACTCATTTATGTAACTTTTTTTAAGCAGTATAAAAGTGGTTTTTGTCAAAAAAAAAACATCAAAAGTGTTTTGGACTCCTGTTCTGTTAGGCTTGTCTTCAGAATTTAATACCTAAAATTTATCTTCCATTTTCCAATCTTTATGGCTCGAAGTGACCACAATCATCAGCATTACTAGGTCGATTCCAGAAGAAATGACATCTAACAATTCATTCCGCTAGCAGCTACATCTTAGTTGAAAGGTCAGTGGTCTTTAAAACGTATTACTCCCTCCGTTAGATGAAGTAGTTTAACTCGATACAGAGTTTAAGAAAAAAAAAATACTTTTGAAATTTATAGTCTTAAAAGATTAAGGGTAAAAGGTTTGTGGGGCCATGATATTTGTATAACTATAAAAGCTTCTCATTAAGGGTAAATGGGTAAAATGAGGAGTTTAAAGTTGAATTATTTCCAAATTTAAAAATGTATCATTTGTTTTGGAACAAACTAAAAAGAAAAGTAGTTCATCTACTATGAAACAGAGGGAGTAGTATATTAAAGCAGATGAAAATATCACCTATGTGAGTTTTCCATAGTTGGTTTCAAGCTCGGATAAAAGTGAAGAACAGCGATAGGTTGACGATCAGTGTAAATTCATGGGCACATATCAATTTTAGCCCGTGTCTGAAACTATTTATATCTGATAGCTGCAAAACTATATATATTTTGTATATTTTTTATATATAACATAGAGAAATACATATATATTCGGATATTATTTTGAGAGCGGTTATATGGTAATTTTTCCTAAATTAGAGCGTCTTTCGGAAATAGCCTCTTTACTCCTCGGGGTAGGGGTAAGGTCTGTATAGACATTACCCTCCCCAGATCTCATTAGTGGGATTTTACTGGATCGTTGTTGTTGTAAATTCATCTGTTGAATTTGGGACAAATAGAACCAAATAGTGCGATCCAACTAGGATTGAGGGGTAGTTCACCGATGATACACTAATTCACACTGAATAATAATTAGTAGAATCTTTTTTCATGGTGGACTGTTAAACTAGATAAATATATTGGGACAGAAAGAGTAACAATGCTAATGTCATTCACAAAAACTGGTATGTTAATCTATCATCTACAAGAACACAATATACCAGTACCAAGGGAAGAACTTAATGAATTGGACCACCTATTTTTCTTGAAACCATCAAATTAAAATTTAAAATGCACGCACAAACTATTATACCATAAATTCAAAATACTACTTATATTGAACTCCAGAAGTATAGGCAGCTATACATTACTGTTGATAAATTACAACAAGATATGGAAATGGATGGCTGAATGCATGAAAAAAGAGCATACACTTCAACCATTATTCAACTTTCACCTCCTCCATTGATGATGATTCAGTGACTTTGTTGAGCCTTGAAAAAAATCCAGAAGAAAATTCTCCAACTCATCTTCAGTATACTTGATGTGCTTGTCACTTACAGATTTCTTCACCTGTCCAATAAATGGCCGGTAGGCATGAACAACCTTTAACGCGGTTGAAATTCTCAGTTCTTCTCTAAGCTCAATATCTGGGATAGTCCATCCTGTCTGATTCTTGTACACTTCCTCAAAAGCAATACTGAAATTTCTGCACCTCTCCTTGAGAACAGTCTTTCCCGACTTCTCATAACCGGTAATCAGAGATAAGATAGGACTCCATGTTATTCTCTCGTAGCTTTTTTCGTGCTGCACGTATTTTACAATACGTGTTTTTATCCATTCATCACCAAAACAAGTTCTAATTTTGGAGTTCTTGATTTTCTGAACCATGTAATGGATGTTGTTCATCAGAAATATGTGCTTTAAAGAACCATCTTTATATAAATTGGACCTTTTGTCAAGGTTGGATTCAAGCATGGATGCTACTGACTGCAAGTGAAGAGCCAATGGACATGAGAATTCAGAAGAAACGTCGAGCCTGGCCATAGAATCAACAACACCTTCCAAATTCTGTACCTCTCTGTCCTCGAGAAGGAACCTCAGGGTAGCACAATATTCTGAAAGAAGCATGAAATAATTGATAACGTACTTGGTAAGAGGATGAACACCTCCTCCGTAGAAGGGAGTTGTTGAAGTGTTTGAAGCAATGTGATTCCCCAACTCCAGAAAGATTGCTTTTGCAGAATCTCCAAGATTTTTCAGGAGTTCATGGTATTCTATGTTAATGAAATTACCATGAGTTTCACAAAACAAAGCATCCACGTCTTGACAAAGATCTCTTAGAAGCTCATACATATCAAGTAAACAAAAAAGGCGTTCAGGTCTAAGGGGGCCAATAGCTACAGCTTGGCCGAAATTCAAAAGACACAAAATTGCATCCTTTGAAGCTTCAATGAAACTGGTTGAGCTAACAGATCCAAACTCACCTAGAAGTTGATCAAAGAGGTTTTTCTCACTAGGGAGATAGAATTCAATGACGTTCTTCGTTGCCTGGCGCCACTTCTTGATTCTGCAATTCAAGCAAGCCCAATCCATTCTCAGCACATCTTCAATGCTGGTTTGTTGCATACAGAAAAGCCTTAAGTATTCATGTAATGCATCTTTCCAGAATCTGATAAATACCTGGCAGAATTCCTGATCGTAATGTGAAGCGAACATTACATTTGCAATAGACTTGATCTGAGGAACAACATATGGATGGACCAAAACCATTGTACATTCTTCTGATTCAGCTCCACTACTCTCCCTGCAAGAAGTTCCCACAACCGAATCATTTTCAGTTGAAACCATTGACTCCTCATCCACAACCAACTCTTCACACGAGTGGAATGACACATGATCATGCCCAAAACACAGCTTATTCTGTACAAGAATGTTGATAACTTCTTCCTGCAGTTTTGCCATTGCCATTTGCAACACACTGTGAGCTTGGTTAGCGAGTCTGTTTTGTTTTCCGTTATGGTTTGGCACCATGCTTTCCAAGCTCAGTGTTATAGTTCGAACTTCTTCTACAGCTTGCAGATACTCAAGAAGTTGTGAAGGACCAGCATCCCATATCTTCAAAGAATTCGACTGCAAAGTCAAGATCTTTACCTGAGCTGACTTGAGCCTACCTTCAATCTCTCTGAGACTTGTGGTCTCATCCTCATTTGCTCCAGTCATTGCAGCCAAGTGAATGTCAAGATCGGCTAGACTTCTTCTAACTTCAACGCTCAAGCTCGTACTGGCTTGTAACGCCTTCACAAGGTGATAAGCTGCAGCAATTATATGTTGTTCCCCATCAGGAACTGTGACCACTGATTTATTATCATCCATTTCCAGGCAAAAGTTAGAGCAGGTTGATTAGACTTAAAGGTCTAAAATTTTGATGATCTTTCTCCTGAATCTTGAAACCAACCTCAAGCTCTATTTTTTCTGATGAAATAAGTAATCAAGAAGCCTCTCCACCCCCTTTCTTTCTATATGTTTTCTGATTGGGTCAGAAATTCAGAAACCAAGACTAGTATCAAGAATATACCTCGTAGATTAACCTCAAGTACTCAACAGCCCAAGAACTTCTAATGAAATAGGACAAAATTGGATACTTCTCTTAAACCCTTTTATGGTCACTAACATTAAAAGACTACTAGGTATCAGGGGATGGACATGAAAATATATCAAATTCACTCAGAAACTAAGGCAAACATCCACAAATCACATGATTACAACAACATTTAGACAATCATCAAGACATCAACAGCCAAATACTGTTAAATAAAATGTTGAAACAGTAACATGACAAAACCAAAGTTTAAGTGCTAAACATAAAAATATGGGCAAAGGGATTAAACAGTCTTAGATGAAGAAGCAAGAAAGCATATGAAACCTCAAGCCAAGATTGTTCTTGTTTCTTGGAGCCCTCTCACCAAAGATATTTTGAGTCAGGACAAGAACAAAAAGTAGGGAGGATGAGATGACAAAATATCAAAAATAGAGTTTCTGAAAAGAAAATTACACATTTACGCGTTTTGTTGGAAGAGAACGGTCCAGAGAAAATAAGGACAAAAGGGCACATAGTGGAGTATTAAGGATTGAGATTTAGTGCTGATTTTCCAAGGAGAATGGGATTAAGAGAAAAGTACTAGACCAAGTACTTTCCACTAAAATACAGGAATACTTTAGTTGGTGGTCAAAAATGAAGAAGAAACTTCCTTGGGGTTTAAATAAAACCAGAATTTCTAATTACTACTAGTAACATTTATAATTCTTGGCTGTGCTCTGTCGCACATATGGTGCCTTTGACTATTGACTGGTGGAGTATTGAGAGACATGAAGCATAATCCACCCACCGAACCGCGACCAATTAACGTTGGCGTGTTAATGTTGTACCAACAAGACTGACGTAGGTGCCTACGTGTACATTTTGCTCTCGCTTTTGTCAGCACTTGCCACGTTGGATAAAAAAGTAATTCCTTCGTTCCAGTTTTAGGTGAACCTATTTTCTTTTTGGTTCGTTCCAAAAAGAATTATCTCTTTTTGAATTTGAAAATAATTTTAGCTTAAACTTCTCATTCTATCCTTAATTAATAAAAAGTCTTTATAACCACACAAATATTCTGGATCCTTTCTTGTATTTACGACCACAAATTTCGAAACTCCTTATTTTTTTTTAAACTCTATGTCCAGTAAAACAAATTCACGTAAATTGGAACGGGGAATAGTAGTATATAAAATTTAGAGCAAAAGCTATTGGCTTTTACTGAAAAAGAAAAAAGAAAATAACATGTTTGGACTCGTTTGTTTGATTATATTAGCGATTGTTTAGTTCACCGTATAAACAAAAATAACTCTAACTTAAAATTTTGTATATGTTATAATCCGATACCATTTTTGGTTGTGTTTGACCCAAAAAGTCTTAAACCTTTTTGTTAAACTAATTAAGTGAATAATGATAGGTAAATTCTAGTTAAATATAATAAGTTCTAGATACGAGATTATAATTTGGGAGAGACCGTTTATCAAATGTTATACCCGTATATTCATTCATTAAATGCACGCTTTAGGGAGTAAATGAAAAATGAATAATGAGCAATAAATATGAGAAATGGCAATAAATGTAAATAGGAAGAACAAGTCACCCAAATATCAAATGATGTGGAAGATTCTTCCTTCTAACAAAGAAATGTGGCAGTCACCAAGAATATGAGTAATGCTTTCTTGGATCATGTGAGTGTAAAAGAAGAAGAATCGACGAAATCAATCACTATGGAAAGGTAAACTTTGTATTTTTTCTCTATGGTCAACTTCTTACAATAGTTTTTCTTAGATTCAATCTCACGTGCCCTTTTTCTGCTCTCTCTCTCTCTCTCTCTCTCTCTCTCTCTCTTTCTTTCTATTTATATAGGATATTCTCTAAAAATCCTAAAAAGTACAACAAAGAGAATATCCAAGAGAATATTCCCGTCACTAGTTCCAAGATGACACTGCCTTTATTCATATCCTTCACTATTCGACCTCGACCTCGACCTCTACGGCTCGCTCTGCGACTGCTCGTTATTGGGCTTTGGTCGACCTTGTCCTATCTTCCCAACTCGGGACACAGTCTTTTCACCTTACGATCTTTCCACGCCCAACTTACTCAGCAAGATTTTGACCCATACAGTTAGTCCCTCCGCTTGTTGGGGTCGCCTTCTGGTCGACCCCAGTGAGCGGACTTTTTCAGTTGGCGATTTGTGAGGAAATTTTTGGCGTGGAGATCGAGTTGAGGTGCTCGTTGCCAAAGCCATGACGTGTTGTTTTGAGATTCGTGTGTCATGGGGTTGGTACAGGGTGATATCACAACGCATGCATTATCATTGTGCATCTTCCTGATGCGTTGCCTCGTTCTTCGAGTCCATGTTGTTTCGATTCTAGGGCCACTGGTGGTTACTCTCGATTCGAGCACCCCTGAGGTTTATAAATAAAAAGGGGGGATTTCTCAAAGAAACTTTTGCACTCTTTCTAGTTTCTTCAGCCCTGCATTTGCTTCCTTTTCTCCTTATTGTGTTCTTGCTTCCTGTAACTGCTGCCATTGCCACCCTTTCTTCTTTTTTTGTCTCTTTATATATGAATCATAGGAAAATGGCTACCGCAACCCCAACACTGAGATAGTTTCCGACCCTACTCTGTTATCGGTAGCCATGCCTTCCGGTGGCGGAGAATTAACGGTGGTAGAGGATGAAAGCTTTCCCACTATGGAGGAGATTATTCCTCGTAACCCTGCTTCCCGGTCTGACTTGTCTAAGGAACCCGCTCTTGAACCGGAGTTTGCGAAATTGGAGATGGAAACGAAGTACTTTGCCGCCCTTAGGGCCAAGTACGACATTCCAACCCACGTTGACCTTGTTTCGGCTGGTAACGACGTGATTCAAGTTCACGTGCCTAGGTATTGTGCGTTTTACGCCTACCCATTCCATATAGGCTATTATTTTCCTCTTCCTCTGTTGGTGGAGGAGTTCTTCCATTACTACCGTGTTTGCCCGACACAGATCTCTCTCCATCTTTACAACATTTTCTTATGTTGGCGAAGTTTGCGGAGCTGGCCAACTGCGAAGTCTCTATTCGTCATGTTCTGCATTTTTTCGGGTTGAGCTTCCATAAAGGCACGATGATTCACCTCTGCTACCGTGGAACCAAGGGTTGGTGGTGGGGATGGACGACAGGACGAACCGCCAGTTCTAGGCCTATTACTTTTTTATTAAGACCGAGCACGTGGTGGCGAACCCCAGCGACTTTCCTGAGCAATGGAATTTTGCTTGTAAGTATTGTTATTTGGAGTACGTTCTTTTCTTCTCTTCGTGATACGTGACTAGTAACATTATTTTTTTCTTTTGCAACTGAGAGACGTCCCTCATCTTTTATCGTTAATATCAGTGATTGGGTGGCCCGCGTTCTGCCTCACATCGTAGGTATCCGTGACTGGGCGTCATTTAACAAGAGATTCGGGCTCAAGCCCTCGACCAGTAAGTCGGGTTTTGCCTTTATAACTATTTCACTTTCGCTGTGGTGCATGTCTTTTTGTTGTTTACGATTTTCCTTTGATGCTAGGTCGAAAAACTTCTAAAAATGTGAAGGCTCCCGTCCCTGCGTTTTGTCAGGCGGTCGCTTCGATGAGGAGGCAGTTCGTGTTGGCCGAGTCTGTGCAAAATACTTCTTCCCAGACTCTGGTATTAAGGAAGCCCGGTCTTCGGATGGTCACCCCGTCAATGGAGATCCCAGCCTGCCCGGTGGTTCATTTAGTGGATGAATCTTCCACTGGGGAGGAGGAAGCGACACCATTGAAGAGGTAACGAGTGGAGGCCGTGGTTACACCCGAACGGGCCATGACCGTAGATATGGAGGCGACGTGCACTTCCTCTACGGAGACTGCACCCCCACCTGAGATTGTCGAGGAAGCTAGGTCGTTGGAGACAACGAGGGCATATGCGGAAATGGTAACACCAAGGGCGGCCGAGGTTGGCTCATCATCTATTGGTGTTAGAGGAAAAACGATCGTCATGAAGGATGACAGGTCTGGTTCTAATATCGACCTTGAGGAGGTGCGGACTTTTGAGGAGAGATTCACTTAAGTAGAGGTGAGGACCGAGGGGTCCACTCAAAATATTATTATCCTTGTAGATTTTAACTTGTTAGTCAACTCGGAGAGCGTGTTCCAGCTTTGGCCCCTTTGTATGCAGATCCTGAGAACAGGACCTTGCAGACGGTGAAGGATGAGGACTTGTCATTAGGCATTTCTAGGATGGCCCTGCGAGTAAGTTCTTTTTTATTTTCTTGATTTCTTTCTTTTACGTTATTTGTCTTTGTTGACCTTTCTTCGCCTATTTATCAGACCCTCATATTGGAGATTGAGAGTGCTCGTCGGCAGGAGAAGAAGACGAGAGTCTATAAGAAGATGGAGTCGAAGTACAGAGAGTACCGTACCAAACACAAAGCCTTGATCTGTATGCTTGGTGAGGACGCTATGTTTCTAACCCTTTATGACGATCTGAGGCAGAAGAATAAGGAGTAGAAAAAGAATGACGACGAGTTGAAGGATAAGGACGACGAGACCATGAGGATTATTGGCAGCTTTAGTGAGTTCGAGGAAATGTTGAGGGCCAAGAACGATGAGCTCGAGGTGAGTAAGGGCGTCATGGCCGAGTGCGTCGATCTCCAAGCTTAGGTGACGTCTTTACGGGCCGAGCTTGATCAGCGTGAAACTGTAGTTAACGGCTAACGGACAAGTTGGCTGCCAAAGGTACGAAATTGGAGCGAGTTGAGAGAGCTGGATCGGCTGTTGTGGCAGAGGCGGACACCTTTTGCATCTCTAGGTTAGAGCGTCTTAGTGAGGCAAAGACCTTTTGCTCTCAAAGAGGTGAGGCCCGAAGAGCAAATTGGCAGACTAGAAGGAGACGTTCAAGATTTGAACGAGCAGGTAACTATCCTTTAGGCCGAGAAAGCGCAGCAGGAGGCCCAACCGTCTACCTCTCATGCTTCCACTTACCCCGATGTCCCAAAAGACTTGTACGAGAAGTGGGTCCATGTTGGGGCTCATTTTGACATATTTAGAGGTTTGACAACGGTTGGGAAAGCCTCTAAGGTGGAGTTTAAGAATGCTCGTGTTAAGGCACGTGCAGCTCGTGCCTCTTACGGCTATGACCCTGGCACGCCCGGAATGGATGATAACAAGGAAGATGTGGACGAGATTGAGCCAGATGCTTGGTATGAAGACGAGTACTTGGATGACGAGGGTGGAGATGGTGCTGTTGGACCGAGCGGCGAAGGTGGCGATGTAGATGATGCAGTGTGATGATGCAATGCAGTTTTCTTGTACTTAATTTTTTATGCTCTTTTTCTTCTTCTTTTTTTTTTTCTGGGGGGGGGGGGT